TCTTTTCTTTTCTTTTCTTTTCTTTTCTTTTCTTTTCTTTTCTTTTCTTTTCTTTTCTGCATTTGAACTCTGAACAGAAATGGCTATTCCAATGGGGGAAAGGCAAGTGTATGAGTGTGCGCACATGTACATGCACATGCTGCTCTTGAGCACTGAATCTTCATTGTGGTGTGCATTTCTTCTTTGCTCAGAGTTCATCAGAAAGATTCCTGTGTGACTGAGCCAAGGCCGGAAGTCAACTGAACGCTTATGCAGAATTGGGGGGGGGGGGCAAGGAACCCAGAGCCCAGGTGTTATGCAATTTCTGTCACACGGCTCTGCTCAGTTGTAGGGCGGTTTTGGTGGTTTTGCACAATGAGGACAAGAGTCCATTGAGGAGGGACGAGCTACCCATGACCCATCTTGGGTTTCCTATTTTTCAAACTTCCTCACCTTTCTAAACAAGCGGCAGTACTTTTTATTTTACAGCTACATCTGTATGTGCAAAATGAATGGCTGGATTGTTCTGGCTCTCATTTCTATTGACAGAGTGTTGTATTTGGTCAACTCACATTGTTTTCCTGCTGCCATTCCTCAAACAGGCTGTTTATTGCTGTTAGATAATGCAGAATGTAGAGGCTCATGAGTATAAAGTAACATATTACAAACACCAAAATAGTGACCCCCCCCCAAAAAAGTATATAACAGGATTTGAGTGTGTTTTCCTCTCTTTTCCCCATCTGTTCTCAATTACAGAAAACGCCTCCCTCCAGTTGAAGGGAAGAGGTACACCCTGCAAAACAACATCTTAGGACAATATGTGACATCTGTATATGACAGATGGGCTTTTTCAGGTTTCTTCATCATGAGCTTTATTTTCTAGGACCTTTGTCTGAAGCACCCAGGATCTTTTGCTTAAGCATTTTTTTTAAGAAAAAAAAAGGAAAAAAAATAGGGGGAAAAAATCCCCTCTCTGCAAACAATCTCAGCAAAAGCAGTAACCTCTCATTGAAATGGAAGTTCTCCCTGCTAACTCCCAGTGTCTAAAGGAGTTCAAATCATTCCTACTCGCATCCATTGGTCATCACTGGTAGAAGGGGTGGGGGGTGGGGGTGGGGAAGGCTGCAGTGTGTCTTAAGAAGACTGCTCCTGTTCAGGATTGTTCAGCCATCCCCCCCTCAATAATATTGGACTTCTCTCCCTTGCTTCTTCACATTTGGATCATTCTCCAGTCCATGGCTAATGAATTATAATCATTGGCTTGTCATCATTGGTCATCATGAGTACAATCATTAGACTGTGATCATTGGATATTGGATTGTCAGAGATTCTTTGCCCAATTTGCTTTCATTTTTTTAAAATGAACTTTTCTTTCTGAAAATCTTGAGGTCCGCTGAAACACATTAATATCTCCCTTGTCCTTTGCTACAGTAGAAGTTTTTATATGCTTACACAAATATGTTTACATGCACTTGCTATTCCTGTTTCATATTTTCATATGTTAATGCAAGGCTTGATAGAGTTGCACAAAAGTCTAAAGGTGAATGCATACAAGTTAGTTCCATGAAAAGCAGTCCTGACTCTGCTCCCCACTTTTCATGAAATCTCTGAGTTTCTGAAAAAATCTAATGACGTGTTCCAGGATATGACAAGAATCCAAAAATGCAAATACATAGGGACAATACATGAAAATTACAGGATCCATTTTTAAGTCATTGAGTCAAATCCTCTGATCAGTGTGTTCATGGGGAGGGGCAGTCAAAAAAGTCAAGATGAAGACCATGACTATATGACTGAAGCTTCGCCCTTTTTCAACACGGGTCTTTGAGCACAGTGTTGTGGCCTCCAGCCTGACCACCCTAAGGATGCCAAATTAAAGCATCCATATTAAGGCATTCAAGAATAATAAATGACTGTCTTGCCTCCGTTTGAACATATCCAGTAAAAGGAAGGCTACCACTTTGCATACCTGATTTTGGATCAGTGAATGAAAATAATCCAGATCCTAATTCAATTCAGGATCTTTAGGAATGAACAAATCCATAATGTTTCAAAGAATTTGCCTATCCAAAAAATAAGAACGTGACTAGATGTTCTTCCAGAATTTGTTCATGATGAAATGTACACTTCATGTTTTCCCTTACAGCACACATATACTCACAAAGTATTTATACCTATAGTTCTTGGCAAATTTTATCTTTCAATGGCAGACAGTATATAATGCAAATCTGGAATGATTTGTTGGCTATGATTTATGGAGGGCTAAGTCAAGACTTTCACCATGGCCTTCGGAGTACACTTCAAACAAGCCCCATGCTTGACAGAGTGAGGTGGGGGTGGGGGAAAGATTGTAGATGAATTCATCTCTTTTTTTCCAGACAGATAGACAAGTTGTATTATTTATACCTTGACGCAAACATACCACATTTGAAGTGGGATGGGGAGGGAAGTGGATAAGATGACAAAGGGCTTTTAGAACTCGTCCACTCCCAGGGGGGATCTGTGCACCTGTTTCTTACCACTAAAAGGACGTTAAAGTTTCTGAAACGTGACCAACATATAGATAGAAGAGCCTTCAAGACAAAATGTGACATACTTTACATTGCAAGGTCAGAATTTAATCATTTGTATCATTGCTTTAATATAATTACTTTTCACAGATACTTAACTGAACATGATACAACCAGGGCAACATCTTTTTCAGGGGCTGATTTTTTATTGTTGCCACAAGCAGCTTGGGCAGGTTTATGTTTATAAACCATCCGGACAAGTTGGGTGGATGGAAGAGGTGATAAACAGTGGTTTTCTCTCTTTGCTTTTGAATGTGGCTAGATTTGTGAAGGTACAACAGACAGCAGTAATTATAATTTAGGTTGCTCCCTCTTTTGGAAAAACCACACAAGAGGCCCAGAGGGGATTAAGA